GTGTGTACTCACCTATTTGTACTTACCTATTTGTGATCGCAGGGGTCGAGTCACAGCTCCTGGCTGCGCCTCTTCGCTGATTGCTACTATGTCCTCTCTCTCCCTGCCCCATGGACTCTATCATACCTCGCCTTAAAACTATGTATGGTTCCCCGCCTCCACTATGTCACTTTCTAGGCCATTCCACGGCCCGACTACTCTATGACTGAAGAAATACTTCCTAACATCCCTTTGATTCATCTGAGTCTTCAACTTCCAATTGTGACCTCTTGTGTCTGTGTCCCTTCTCTGGAACATCCCGTCTTTGTCCACCTTGTCTATTCCGCGCAGTATTTTATATGTCGTTATCATGTCTCCCCTGACCCTTCTGTCCTCCAGTGTCGTCAGGGCCGATTTCCCTCAACCTTTCTTCGTAGGACAATCCCCGTAGCTCTGGGACTAGTCTTGTTGGAAACCTTTGCACTTTCTCTAATTTCTTGACGTGCTTGACTAGGTGTGGATTCCAAACTGGTGCTGCATACTCCAGTATGGGCCTGACGTAAATGGTATACAGAGTCTTAAACGAATCCTTACTGAGGTATCGGAACGCTATCCGTAGGTTTGCCAGGCGCCCGTATGCTGCAGCAGTTATCTGATTGATGTGCGCCTCAGGAGATATGCTCGGTGTTATACTCACCCCCAGATCTTTTTCCTTGAGTGAGGTTTGCAGTCTTTGGCCATCTAAACTATATTGTGTCTGCGGTCTTCTTTGCCCTTCCCCAATCTTCATGACTTTGCATTTGGCAGGGTTAAATTCAAGGAGCCAGTTGCTGGACCAGGCTTGTAGCCTGTCCAGGTCTCTTTGTAGTCCTGCCTGATCCTCATGTGTGTGTGTGTGTGTGTGTGCGCGCGCGCGTGTGTGTAGGGCTGTGGTTGAAGATTATCTGCTCTTAGCTCTATCTCTCAACTATCCAATTGTAGTCACACACTGCTCTTAGCCTCATGGGTAATATCATGCTCTCTCTTGAACTTAAGGATTAGAAAATAGAACAGTCTTGATGAAAAAGTGGTGAGAATAGATTCCATACACAGTTTTAAAAATATAGATTATAAGGTTCTTGAACCTAAGAAGTGAACTTGGTAATTCACTGCTGAGCGACCCTATCCACTTCTCGAGTCTAATGAACATCCTAACCAATATTGAGAACCTCGTGATCTCCAACCACTGCTTGGGAGTTGGATACCCACACCCACCACTCATGTCCAGGGAACCTTACCTTTCTTGTGTGGTCTTGGGGACCCTGACCCGCTTCTTCAGTATTAAGAATTCTTACCCCCTCAGGCCTTCGAGGGGCCCCATTCACTACTCGAATTTTAGGGTCCCTCAACTGTTCTAGTCTTAGGGACTTTCTTCCCTTCTCTCCCGACTGGTCAGGTATTACTAACCCACATCTGCTGTTCGGATCGTTACCTCGTGGATGGCGCTGAAGAGGTTCCAGTCGTGAAGGGTTATATGGTAAGCTAACTCCCGTGTGCTGTACATCTCCAGCTGGTTTAAGGTTCCTTCTGATGGGCCTTCTTGCTCTGGCAGAGGCATCTGTAGGGAGGTAAGTGCGTGTTGTATAAGTAGAAATAAGTTGTAAGTGTTATTCACAAAATTATTTTGAAAATTTTTCTTTTTATCTCTCCAAGTTATTATAAAACCTCAATATTACACCACGAGCATAAGTATTTAAGGACATGTATCAAACCTAGTCTATTACCAATGATTTACAAATATATTTCCTGTATTTTCCCCATCTGCAAAAATTTTACTATTTTTTTTGTAGACAAAGGTACAAATAAAACTTTTAAAAGAACTTCTATTACAGGCAATGTAAACAAACATTTACTAGTAGCTTTCGCGGAAATAAATTTATGTAGGTAGAGAAGAAAATAATTCTTTCGATTTTTTCAACAAATTTCATAAAATATGGATTTAGATTTAAAGGTAAGTAAAATTTTTTTTCAAATAATTCCTGCAGAAAACTACGTCTGCTTATTTAAGGAAGAAGCATTACAATCTTGACAAGACCTGGTGATTATTTTAGTTATATCGTGTGACTGGGAGAGAAGACGTTTATAAAAGAGGACAGAAAATTTTATAAGATAGGAAGCCACTGGTTGCATGGAAACAGGGGAAGAAAATATACCTTACTCTGAAGAAAAGGTGGCAAGGAATTTACCCGATGTGAAGAAAATTCTCCAGAAAGGGGTTATCTCTCTGCCCTTTCAGCGCCCCTTCAGCCCATGAGGGGCTTGAGAGACTGAGCCCTCCTGGATGAGGGGCTAATGGACTCTCTTGCTTCATCAACAGTTTAATTGGATACGCACGTTGATACCTACTTCATAGTCACACCACACCCTCTTCTTGCAGATCAATGTTCGTTGTAATACAAGTGACAGTGAAACCTGCACCACTTTACCTACAATGTGAGACTACGATGAACTGTCCTCTATAGCTGCATAACGAGAAATCTACCACTTGCTTTGAATACTATTGCAGTGTTAAGCAAGGTGAGAAATAACACTGAAGCCAGCATTGAGGGGCCACCTGAGGGCGAAGTGCACAGGAGGAGGTCAGATTGCTTTATGAAACGATCAGTGAAATGTTCGTCTTGTGGGCATTGTCCTCTTGCCGGAAACGGACAAAGGACAATAGTGTTTAGTGTGTTTTGACTCTTGTTCATTTGACAATCTCACAAATTCGCGGTTGAACTATTACGCAGTGAAGTATAACTGGTCTTCCTGTTGTGAAAATACCAGGAAACTATGGACAAATCTTGGAACTGTGTAGTGTAATCATTGAGTGTTTGCAGAACAATCCCAGTAGAGGACAGTGCAACATTCCCTAAGACACTCCAGCTCCAATCAAGACACCTATATTGGGGTCACATTTTCTTTACCACAAGCCAGGGAAAATTTTGGGTCAGATACAAATACCCAGATAAGTCTAGACATCCCCGCTCCTAGTTAAGTTGGCTGCAGCTGATAGATGGGGGCGAGCCGTGCTTAGATGTATCAATAGACCTGGTTATAGGCGGGCCATTGAGCCCAACCAAGTGAGTACAACTCCGTTCAGCATTACGTTTAAGTTAAATGCTGAAATATAATATCTGACAATCAACAGCTATGATGTGGGGATACCGAAATTCACATCCAAGGGGCCATTTTGGATGAAGGTGCAGAACGGCGGAATCAACACTGAAGCTAAGTATATTTCATTTCATGTCTTTAGACTTAGTTGGGTAATATTCCCCATAATTTCACTGCTAACAGATATGAAAGTTTAAACTTAATGTAAAACTTCCTTAAAAATATTTAAGAGAATTTGTCTATAAACACTGCATGAAGAGACACATTCAGACAAGCTCTGAGATCACAAGTCTGGTCTGTGCTGTGGTTGCATGCTTGAGTGAGTGAGAGAAGGTGAGGATGGCTACTGCGAAGTGTGTGCTGGGCGCCCTGTTTTCTGAGTGACGGGATACTGCACTTGGTGAACAGCGGGTGGCTCCCGTTTTCTGCTGTCGTAGCAAGGGACAGCTGGCCCTACTCACTGCTCTCTTTGGCTGAGTCCTAGCAGCAACTCAAATATTTTGTAAAGACTCCAGTCTTTGCCAATTTTTTGAAGGATCGTAAGTTCTTGGACCACTATGTGGCCACTATCTGGTTCAAGTACGACCAAAAGACTATGGGGAATGTTACCCAGCTAAGTATATTTCATTTCATGTCTTTAAATAGACTGAGCTGTGTAATATTCCCCATAGCCTTTTGGTCGAACTCGAACTGGATAATGGCCACATATTGGTACAAGAACTTGAAACAATATGTGAAGACTGGACCAACTGTAAAGACTGGAGACTATACAAAATATTTCAGTTACTTGTACTACTCAGCCAAGGAGAATGGTGAGTAGGGCCAGCTGTTCCTCACTACGACAACATAAAATGGGAGCCACCCGCTGTTCACTCAGCGCAGCATCGCCCGTCACCCAGTGCTGCTATTTATTCACAGTACCTTGAAGATCGTCCACATACAAACTTTTATTTAAAATTTCTTTGAAGGGACTTTCAGATTTCTTCAATGTGTATTTAGAGTAGCATAGCTTCTAGCAAGAATAGAGAGGATGTTGCACGAAACAAAACTGACTTGAAATTATATTTTTTCACAGGACTTTGAGGATCAAAAGAATAAACAATAAACCATGCAGTAGACTCACCAAATGTAGTTTACTGTCAGAGGTATCACAATGTTCAGATTCTCTAGGACTCATCTCACCAATCACAATAAAAGGTAAAATGCTTGTGCAAAATTCATGGAAGCTCAAAATAGGTTGGGATGAGAACTTGCCTCTAGAAATGAGTCAAGCATGGGATGAAATATCCAAGGAGTTTAAACAACTTAATCAAATTCAATTTCTCAGACAAATAGGTCAAAAGGAAAGCATGTACACATGTGCTATGACGCGTGAGGGTATGTCGCTGTAGCTTACATGAGTAATGCTAAAGGAAGTACACTGATTACTTCAAAGATCAGGGTAGCACCTTTGAAGGTCAGAACAGTACCACAATTGGAACTGACAGCACTCTATGTAGGTACAAAATTAGCTGTCTATATCAACAAAGTGCTCGATCATCTCACTATTGAAAAAACCGTGATCTGGAGTGATAATGAAGCAGTTCTCCAGTGGTTACGAAATAACAAGAGTAAGTTGGTCTACGTACAAAACAGAGTAGCAGAAATAAGAGAGATACAGAGAGACTATCTCTTCACGTCTCAACCCAAGAGAATGCAACTGACATGTTGTCACGTGGTGTCCCACTTAAGAAATTTGTGGATAATAAATTATGGCTCCACGGACCAAACTGGCTCTCTAATGAAAATAACTGGCCTCAGCAAAAAGCTTACATTATGCCAGAAGAAACAGTCTGCATGAACACAGAAATAATCTGTTTAAATGCAGCAGGTACACCAGAAAAGGTCATTGATGGATCTGAATACTCATCTTTGGGTAAACTCTTAAAAGTTAGAGCTCTTGTCTTCAAATTCATTAAAGGGACAAAACCCAATTAAGAATTTCCAGAACCCATCAAATACTGGGTAAAACAAATACAGAAAGATGTCTTCTCTAAAGTGTACAAATTTCTGGAAACACAAGATAAATCCCCAAAGAAACTTAATATGATTAAATCTTTAGGACTTTATCTCGACTCAAAAAAGATTATAAGATGTCGAGGAAGAATTCATTATTCTTCACTACCTAGAGAAGTAATACATCCAACATTGATCCATAAAAATCAGTGGCTAAAGAAACTGATTGTTAAAAATGCTCACAGTAACGTTTTACACAGTGGAGTAGATAACACACTTTGTCACATACAACAATCCTACTGGATACCTCAAGGTTGACAAAGTGTGAAAAAACAAATAAGGGACTTATTACGTGTGGTGTTACTACGATATGCGAGTATGTCAGTAACCAGGTCCACCACCATATGCTGCCGAGTATGTCATGTCACTCCGTTTGAGGTGACAGGTGTAGATTACACTGGAAGAATAATTTTAATTAAACAGTTGACAAAGTTACCATCAAGGTGTACATCTGTTTGTTCACCTCTGCTAGGACTAGAACAGTACATCTAGAAGTAGCCACTGACATGTCTGCTGAAACCTTTATTAAACTATTCAGAAGGTTTGCCGCCAGAAGGGTGTGTCCCAAATTGATAATTTCAGACAAGGCAATGAACTTTGTTGCTGGCGCTGCTTATATAAGCAAGGTCTTCGATCAACCAGAGATACAACAGATACTGAATCAACTCAGCTGTCATTGGAGACACATTTGTGGAGAAATTTTCTCCAGGAGGGGGGTATTAGCCCCCTTCAGCCCCTTTCAGCCCCTTTCAGCCCTTTCAGCCCTGAGGGGCCCAGCCCTCTCAGAAGGGGCAAGCTTCTTGCTTACTGCTACAGCAAGTAATTGATCCCAGATGCAGTACCAGTATGCAACGTGTGGTCAAGCGACCGCCGCTCCGTGCAAGACTCCAGTGTTGCAAAGTGTATTTTAATAAAAGACAGTCCATCTCTTACCTTAGCAGGACAATTAAGGAAAATCCTGCTCCCACTGTATTACCATGGTAAAGATAGTGTACATTGTTGTCTATGCTTAAGACAGCAAGAATCAAACATTCTGCTTTGCTTCATGGAGGAAGTGGCAAGGAAGAAAAAGTACTAGGTCAGCTTTTCCTTTATGTGTGAAGGGCAGTAACGGCGTGGGGCGTTGTGACGTCTTCAGATTACTTTTGACTCTACTGAGAATGACACTGACGCCAGGATAACCAACAAAGAACGCTCTGTGCGTTAGTGTGAACAAAGTGTCTCACAAAACACGATAAATACTTACAGAGAAGTGTGATCAACTTCTTAGTGATATTGTGTGAACGATTATTGATGAACAGTGTAACAACGAGTATTGCGATCCAACAGAGTATAGTGCGACATTCTTCAAAGAACACTATTCTTCAATCAACTCAATGGATATCCAGGCGTAATTACGGGTCAGATACATATACCCAGGTAAGTGTTCTAACTCGTGATGTACTACTATTGACTGTGCAGTTGAGTATAAAGTCGTGAGTTAGTCACTTATCATAAACCCCGGTGATATGCGGACCTTTGAGTCCACACACATAAGCTTGTCAGCAATCAGTGAATGAAATATGCTGACATAACACCCCCTAGGGGTAATTTATAATCTTACAAATTATAACTCATTTCAGCCCGTTGAGGAATGACATCGACAGCTTCTCAAGACCTCATCTGCAGGGGCGGCTGTGCAGGCGATGAGCTGTCTCTCTAAGTTAAGTTTTCCCTATATTTAATGTATAAGCTTAACTGGTAACCCATTTCTCAACATTCCTCCTAAAGCTCCATGGCAAGGCAGATATGAAAGAAACATGGGAATATGTTGTTTAAGGAAGACTCTTCATCATCAGCAAATCGACTTAGAAGAATTTCAAACTGTCGTAACTGAAATAGAAAATAGAGTCAACAACTGACGTCTAACTTATGTTACCGATGATCTAGACAATTTGGAAGTGTTAAGTCCATCTCATTTACTCCATGGCAGGAGGCTCGAACCAGTTCCTCCCATGAATGATAAAGAAATCATAGAGCATCCTACTTATCTCGAACCTGAGCAACTCAGATGTAAATTCAAACACCTTAATAAAGTGACTGAACATAGGAAGAAAATATGGCAAGAAGACTATCTCACCTCACTGAGAGAACATGTCTGTGGAGCTGGTGTTCCTAAAAATCATAAGTACTTAAGTCCTGGTGACATAGTGATTAGTGACAATGATGGTCCAAGGTCTCAATGGCCTCTTGTAAAAATAGTGACCATACATCCTGATGCAAATGGAACCATCAGGACAGTTGATGTTTTGAGCAAAGGTGTAGTGAATAAGCGGACAATATATAAACTAGTGCCATTAGAATTAAACAATGTTGAAAACAAACTTACTGATTCTCCAGAAACCCCAAAGATTAAAGCTGTTAAAAAAGACAGTCAGCAGTGGTGGTGAGTGAGAAAATCAAATTAATGTTAAGTGATGAATAGTTCACCTGCGGCAAACTTTCGCCCGCCCCCCAGATTTATCCGGTTTGAAGGACCAAAAGGCTATGGGGAATATTACCCGGTAACTCTATTGAAAAACATGAAATATACTTAACTGGGTAATATTCCTCATACTGAGAAATAACCAACTGGATGGAAGAAGTGAGCTACAACTACCTCCACTAAATAAGTACTGTTTTTATTTTAAACTTTCTCCACTGCCACTCACAGAGTTGTGCATAGCAGTGCCTACACCTATGTTCTATGATGCCATTCTTCTTTCGATGTTGCCATATTGTCTGATTTTTTATTTATGTATAGAGAATTGCACCATGTTCCAGTTACTGTATAACTCTCTACAGGAAGTCACTCCAAAGTGCCATAATTCAATCCCATCAACGTTACCAGCATCTCGGAGAAGCTTATCAAAATTACCTGCTCTCTATTTGGAAACCATCACAGTATTTTTTTGAATTTCAATGATTACATTTATTTTAAATAGAATGAGGTTGTAATCAGAGCCGGATTAAGATTTTGTGAGGGGCCCCTAGTGATATTTTCAAAAGGAAAAGAAAATAATCACAGTAGTCAACAGTTCATTATATCCATCCTGCCCTGGCTGTGATCCCTGCTCCCTAATCTATCTCCTACCTTGAATAATTGTACAAGTTCATGGACTGTGGTCAGAAAGAGATCTAAATTACTGTTACCACGAGTAGCCAAGATGACAACTTTACTTAAAGCTGTCCTCAATGATGCTGACGAGTGCGGTGACCTCCAGGTTCCCTGACAGAGTGCTCCAATTTATGTTAGGCAGGTTGAAGTCGCTAATATTGCCTTATTGTTAATACAACGTGCCTTAATTTCATCACACAAGCGGGAATCATTCTCCTAATTTTGTTTGGGAGACGATATATTGCACCGCTACTCCATATTGATTTTATTTCAAAGGCAATTCCTTGTTAACATATAAAGTCACTCTACTGCCTTTCTTATGATTAAGAGCCTCATTATATATATTGTGTCAACTAGGAGTAATTTCTGTTTCTTCGAGTTTTTTATACAGATCAAACCAAAATCTACTTAGAAGGATAATATCTAGATTTTCTGCTAAAGTATATATTCAAATAATTCGTCCATTTTTTTTGATAAATGCTACGATCACTTGTGTAAATAACTTTTAATTCAACCAGCTGGTGTACCCAGCTGGGTTAATTAGTATAAATTCCCTGTCCCATCCTTTACCTTGCTTCTTGTAATGAGTTGTCTTCTCCCTCCTTCCCCCTCCTCCCGGGTCCTCTCCACTGCATGCATCCTCACATACAAGATCCGTTCCGGTCGTGCACTCTCCACATCGTTGAAAAGAAGGCTATTTTGCTTAAATAAGAGAGAGTGAGAGAGAGAGATAGATAGAGAAGAGAGAGAGAGAGAGAGAGAGAGAGAGAGAGAGTAGAAGAGAGAGAGGAGAGAGAGAGAGAGAGATGAAGAGAGAGCAAAAGAGAGAAAGAGAGAGAGATAGAGAGGAGAGAGAGAGAGAGAGAGAGAGAGAGAGAGAGAGAGAAGAGAGAGAGAGAGAGAGAGAGAGAAGAGAGAGAGAGAGAGAGAGAGAGAGCAAAAGAGAGAAAGAGAGAGAGAGAGAGAGAGAGAGAGAGAGAGAGAGAGAGAGAGAGAGAGAGAGAGAGAGAGAGAGAGAGAGAGCAAAAGAGAGAAAGAGAGAGAAATAGAGAGAGAGAGAGAGAGAGAGAGAGAGAGAGAGAGAGAGGGAGAGAGGGAGAGAGAGAGAGAGAGAGAGCGTGAAGAAAGCTTCTATACCACAAGACGGGCAGAAAGCAGCAACTTCACTCACTTCACTCTGGCAGAACATCACTTCATCTAAGATCATTTATTCCCAGGATGACTCGAGTATGGAAAAAATTCGTACAACATAATGATGTCAACGAGATAAAGTCAGTTGATCAAATGAAAATGCTGGCCCACAGACGGCTCCAACTTCATCCTGTTCCCTACTTGTATGTTTCATAAAAATAAAAATGCTTTCAAATAAGCTGATGTAGGTAACAGCTTTTAGCTGGTCAATAAAGTTAGGAATCCTTAACCTGTAAATAGCTTGTCAATAAAGCTAGGGATCCTTAACCAAACCTTGTCAAACCCTGTGTGTAAAAAAAAAAAAAAAAAAAAAAAAAAAAAAAAAAGGGAGAGTGAGAGAGAAAGAAAGAATTATATCTAACTTAAAGTTCTTTCCACAGAGGTTCTTTAAAGGCTGACCTACCAGGGCGTCGAGGTGGTCCTTGTTGGAGATGAAGAGACGACCATTGAGGCTGAGACCAGTGGGGGGACACACTTCCTTCTCCCGCAGAGGCACCACCTCACCTATACAGCACAAGGTGTTGTGTCAGGTGGTCATGAACATGAAGAAAACATGTATCTTGTGGTTAAGAATATAGAGTAAGGTGCCAACTGATAACAGACATGAAGGAAACAGCTGTCAAGTGATCATAAGTATGACAGAGACAGGTGTCAAGTGGTTGCAAGCATTAGTTAGTCTAGTATCATTTGGCCACTAATGTGAAGGAGACAGGTGTTGTGAGATAAACAGATGTCACTTCGCATTAGGTAAACTCATAGAAATTATTTTATTCTTGTAATTTAAAGAAAATAAACATTGCATTAATATGACTCTGGATATAAACAGTATAAATAAATATTAGTCTCATAAGAGCACTACCACATACTGAGCTGATGCAGCCAAGGAAATCATGTAGGGATATAGCAGTGATAATCGAATACATGGCCGAATGTTTAGAGCTATATTAGAATTACCTCAACATTGCAATATACATCTACAGAATAAAGTCATACATGACACTCAGAATATTGTATTAGGAGACGTTGCATTCACTGATAACTTCCCCAGCTCAATACAAATTATATAAGGAACAAAATACAGGCGACGTCAGGAACCAGGACGTGTGTCACTTGTTTGTGTGGCGGGAGAGAAACAGCTTAGTGAGCACACCTTACATGTAAGATCCTCCAGAGTAGTGGGCAGCAATGTCCGATGACATGATAAAGGTTGTCTTGGAGCAATGCCATCTTCGTTTCATTAGATGCAAGTTTGAGTTACTATATAAGACGTAGGAGATATTTAAGATGTCTCAGCTGTACGTACTTTTGTGTTACTTATGTCCCGGTATGAAATAATAGATACTCCTGCACTGGTATCAGTCTCTCTTGACTGTTCATTTCTTCACTAAGTATTTTATTGTAAACAACGAAATTTTAGCTACACTCATTTTAAGATTTGCGAGAGCCGTGGTAAACACAGTGAGTCTCAGCAGCGACGTTGCCCCGCAACAGCCGAGATCACAACATCTGACTCCGTGGCCCAGAACTCTAGAGTTTTTAGCATATGTGGAGTTAGTGCAAGAACATTCACCTAACCTCATCAGGCATGACCCCACCTAAATTCACTTATTTTCTGTTTTCCCTTTTAATATTCTTCGTTTTTTTTAAAGGGCCTTTGAAAGGTATTGAAAAAGCCACCAGGGGAGGGGTTTTTAACTTTTCATGATTTTATTCAACATTTGTGGGAGAAAAATTTGGTTTATGAAATACTGAAAAACTGAATAGAATATAAATCAGAAAAACTGGACCCCGTGTCGACGACTTTTTCCCGCCCAAGCATAACTTTTTTTTTAATGCCCCTTTTAAGTGAATGGAAAAAGCCCCACCATATGGGTAAACGTGGCCAATAACGACGCATTTAAATTTTCAAATTTTAACCTGCCCGAAAATTTATACCTAAAAACCCACCTGCGTGGACAAACTTTGGGAAAATAAAAGAAAGCATTTAACGCATTTAATCTAAACTAAAAAATCATCCCGGGAAATTTTTTAACCCAAATGTTTTTAAATAAGCCTACTCGGGGGCGAAAGGAATCATTAAAAACCAAACCCCCCGGGCCGGGGAAATTGAACCCGGGGTCATAGAGTTTTAAACCCCGGCCGGGGTAGGGTTTTGATTGCAATCGTTCTTTAAAAGTTTTTTCTTGAGCAAAATCATTATACCCAAATTTAAATGGGGTTAAACCCCACAGCATATCGCTGTTATGTGCTTAGAAAATTTTTTCCACACTTTTATAGTCTGTCCGGGAAAAAAGGCCCAAGATTTTATGACTTTTTTTCAGTTATATGGGAAAATCAAGTCATAAAGACAGCAATTCGAACCCTAAAGGGGTTTAATGAAAAAAAAATTTTGCACAGCTACATGGTAAAAACAGATTTATGTAAAAAATGTATTATCCTACACTAATCATAAAGGACCTATTAAAATTTTAATTATTTTTTAGGTAAGACACATTTGCAACAGTTAGGACCCTTTTTTTCAAAACCTTTTCCCCCTACACAGTGGGTTTTCCTTCAGTCGAGTACAAAAAAAGTTGATAGAAGCGGGAAGAAAACTTGAAGACATGAAATCACCCATCCCCCTTTAAAAGTTTTGGGGGCAGTCCCTCAGTCTGGAGAAGAGCATTTTTTTCCGTTGAAGGGAAACAAAAATAAAGGGTTGAAGTGACGGGATGGACCTTTAAATAGTCCCCGAGTGAGAGGGAAGGTTTTGTTTTTGGGCAGGCCCCTCTAAAACCCAGCCGTTCTCACAAAAAAAGGGGGCCCGAAGTTAAAGGGTTTTGTACCAAGATCCCCTTGTGTTGCAGTGTCGACAGAATAAACCCATTAAAAGGAAAAAATACCGACAAAATTGTTAGGTAAGCCCACATATGCGGGGGTTGGGGTTTTCTTTTTCAAAACTTTTTTCGCCTACACAGAAAGGCTTTTTTTCCAGTCGAGTACAGAAAAGTTAAAAGAAGCAGAAGATACTTGAAGACAAAGTAACAGTCCATCACCCTTAAATTTTTTGAGGTGGTCAGCCCCTCAGTCTGGAGAAGAGCATTGTTTCCGTTTTTCTGAAAAAAATAGAAGTTGAAGTGACAGGATGGCCCTTTTAAATATAGGGGTCGGAGTGAACGTAGGTTGTTTTGGGGAGGGCGGGCCCCTCTAAAACCCAGCCGTTCCCCCAAGTAGAGGTCCGAATTAAAGGGTCTGTACCAAGACACCCCTTGGGGTTGCAGTGTCCTGACAGAATGAACATTAAAAAGGTAAAAAAAACCGACAGTTGTTATTTTAAACACATATGAAAACAGTTGGGTATCTTTTTTTCCGAAACTTTTTCGCCTACACAGTGGGTTTTCATATTTTTCAGAAAAAGGGGCCCAATGCTCTTTTTCCCAGATTTGAGGGACGCCACCTCAAAACTTTAAGGGGGGATGGACGGGTTTACATCGTCTTAAAGTATCTTCTGCTTCTATCAACTTTTCTGAAACCGACGAAAAGCCTACTGGTAGGCGAAACGCTTCGAAATAAAGAAAACCTAACGGTTGCATATTGTCACCTACAATCTGTCGGTTTTTTATACCTTTTTTAATTTTTCATTCGGGTCAGCACGGGCAACCAAGGGATTTTGGGTTTACAGACCATCAACTTCGACCTCTACTTTTGAGAACCGGGGTTTTTGAAGGGACCTCCCCCCAAAGAAACCCTTTACGTCTCACCTCCGGGAAACATATAAACCCTCCACCCTTTCACTTCAACTTAAATATTTTTTTCGACAAGGGAAAAATTGCTCTTTCTCCAACTGGGGGACGACCACCTCAAAATTTTAAAGGGGTGTTTGGACTGATTACATCGCTCAGTATTTTCTGCTTCTATCAACTTTTCTTACCCTGAAGAACCCCTACTTTGTAGGCGAAACGTTTCGAAATAAAGATACCTAACTTTTTGCATAGGTGTCTTACCTAAAAATTCTGTGGGGGTTTTTTATACCTTTTTAATTTTTCAAAATTATTATTAATATTATTATTATTATTATTATTACATTATTTTTTATTTTTTAACATATGGGCCTTTTCCCATCAAGGGAACGATCCGAAAAAAAGAAACCCGACTTCCAGAGGTGTCCCAGATTTCTATAGTTTAAAAAACTGCAACATACCTCCACCCCCACTTTTGTGCACATCAGTACTTTTCACCCTCCAGGGCCAAAGTCTGGCTAACAGTTTCCCTAATCCTTTAATAAATTTAAATTTTGGGTCATACTCCAACAGCCCCACAAATCCTAAAAAAAAAATTTTCCTCCCCCTTTCTCTATTTAAAAAACCTCACTCCCCACTTTCCGGAAAAACTAAGTCCCCCCCCGTACACAAAAACCCCCTTTTCCCCTCCCCCCAACCTCTCCTGGGCCCGACCCAACCCCCCCTTCTTGAAAATACTGTTATAAGAACATAAAAACTAAGAATGTGGAACACTGCAGAAGGCTACGGGCCCCATACGGGCAGGTCCTTATCAAAACGACATCTACCTAAAGCCCCCAAGAAATAACCCCTACCCATGACCCCAAATAAAAACCAGCCCCTCCCACATATATTTGTCCAGTCTCTTCTTAAAGTACCCAAGGCCCTAGCCTCTATCACCCCCTAGGAAGACTGTTCCACGCATCTAAAACTCGTTAGAAAACCAGTACTTCCCTATGTTTTTCTAAATCAAAATTTTATCCAACTTAAACCCATTATTCTGGTTCTTACCGGTTCGACACCCTCAGTACTTTTTTAATTTCCCCCTTGTTTATGCCCGTCATCCATTTTAAGAACATAAAAACTAAGAACAAAGGAACACTGCAAAAGGGCCTACTGGCCCATGGAGGCGGTCCAAAGTCCCTACCGGTTAAAAGCCAATGACCCAAACCTAGTCGGGTAGGTCACATTGCTTAAGGGGGAACACGGAAACCCGACGTTACAAAGCTATCGGGCCCAACTACACCACCCACATCTATCTGTATTTATCAACTTTTTTTAAAGTACACAACGTTCTGGCCTCTATAACGGTACTTGGGGTTTTTCCATCATCCACAATCTATTACCAAACCGGGTACTTTCCTATATCCCTCCGAATCTGAATTTTTCCAATTTAAAAAACCATTGCTGCGAGCCCTGTCTAGGCTAATATTTTCGAACTTTTTCATCCCTTTATTTTTCCTGTCTTCCACTTTAAAAACTAATTTCATACCCCCCAAATTCTACGTCTTTCTAGAGAGTGCATTTTCGGGGCCCTTGTCTATCCCCATAGGGAAGGTTTCTGATACTGGGGTCATTTTGTCTCCTCCCTTTGTACATTTTTCCCGAGAATTTATATCCATTCTGTAATAGGTGACCAAAATGTGCAGATAAACTAAATGAGGCCCAACAAAGGGTATAGAGTTTAAGAAAACCTGAGGCTCCCATTATTTTTGTTCTTGATATGAAGCCAAAGGTTCTATTAGC